ATGATGTAGAACTCAAAGCATAATTTTTTTTTCTTGTCTTTTAATCAAAAATAAGGAAAGTTTAAGCAGAAACTTTGACTACACCTATTCCTGACCTGTTTTTATTCGCTCGTCTTTTTAGCCCCATAACGTCTCCATCAGTTATTTGGTAAATTATTCATGCATCTTGTCGGTGATGTCTTCTATGAGCTTATTTTCTTCAACCCAATCACTTGTCAACAGTCAACAACTGGTTTTCTTCAAAACATTACCTCATTAAGTGCTTATTTAGTTTATACTGTGTTTATTTCGAGGGGTGAATACAGTTGTATCGTCATAAAAGAAGGAGAAAAGAAAATGCCATGTCTTTTGGTTTAAAGTCATACAGTTTTAACAATTGGTCTTGAAATATCCTTAAACTTGATTTTGGTTCGTGGACTTTTTTCTCGGGGAATTTATCCTAACATTCATGTAATTCTTCCTTAAAGGCTTTATCTAACGACTGGTCTAAAATAAGTACCTCCAAAAAAAATGTAGTTGAAATTTTTTTGTCTTTTTAATGTTAGGATAAAAATGAATCATTATCGTTTGGAAACGAAGGCTCATGATGCCTTATCTACACGAGCGTACGACCTTCTGACAACTCTGGATCCGTTAACGTGTAGCCGAACTGAGATACACGACGATTTGTACGATCCGTTGACCAATCCAAAAGTTTGTCTTCTTATTTTTTCCTTTTGCAAACAATCTGTAAAGTAAACATGTGTTAAGGAAGTTTTTTAACAATACAAACAGTTTTTTATCACTAAACTTCAAATTTAAGCATTATTTATTAATGCTCTGCTGACAGTTCGTTCAAACAAAATAAAAAAACTATGAGAAATTTTTTTCAGGGAAAAATTGATCTTTGTACGGCTGAAAATACCCTCTGTGACGACCTTTTTAAAGAAAAGGTTTATTTTTACAACTGCTTTCAAATGTCTAATTGTGGGTATTTTGCTGATAAAAATAACCAAATTTGAACAGGTTTTAAAACGATAACAAATAAACGACTACAAAGTACAAACAGCAACAAAATTTTCAATTTTTTAGCTGACTGATCCGAAAATGTTTAAAGCAGACTTATCACATCTTCTTCGCTATCCACCTCCTAGAGGTTATGATCGGTAAAGATTTGAACGACTTTACAGATTGTGTTAATTTTGAAAAAAAAACAATAAAATAAGCAGAAAAAAAAACTTTTTTCTTTGTTTTTTTTTTTTTTTTTT